CTGCCTGGCCCAGGGCGGGCGGAGAGGGCGGCCGGCCGGCGTCCCCACGCGCCCGCCCCACCCGTCGCCTCCTAAGTCTTCTTAGCCCGGATTAGGGGCCGCGCCTCCCGGGCCACGTGGACAAGCCGGAGCCCTCAGCCCAGAGCGGCGGGCGCTCGCGGGCGGCGGCGCGGGGGTCCGCCCGACAGAAGCCGCCCAGAAGGCCCACGGCGCTGGCTTTTCTTCTTTTTAAAAATTTTTTGAGACAGAGTCTCACTGTGTTGCCCAGGCTAGAGTGAGTGCCGTGGCGTCAGCCTCGCTCACACCAACCTCAAACTCCTGGGCTCGAGCGATCCTCCTGCCTCAGCCTCCCGAGTAGCTGGGACTACAGGCATGCACCACCATGCCCGGCTAATTTTTTCTATATATTTTTAGTTGGCCAATTAATTTCTTTCTATTAATAGTAAAGACGGGGTCTCACTCTTGCTCAGGCTGGTTTCCAACCCCTGATCTCAAATGGTCCTCTCACCTGGGCATCCCAGAGTGCTGGGATTACAGGCGTGAGCCACTGTGCCCACCCCTGGCTTTTCTTCTATTTGCAAAACCTGACTGTGATATATGCTGCCCTTTCTGTGGATGCTGTTTTCTTAGGACACAGCCTGAACTGTGGTTAATCACTATTCCCAGACAACTCACCTGCGTTTCGTGTGTGTGTTCGCAGGTGCCAAATATACCCTGGGAATGCGCTCAGAAATGGACCCTCGGTTTACACGTCTACCTAGTAGGTCAAGCTTGTTACTAATCATCATGTTATTCATATCCTCATTTATTCTTCCTGGTCTGCCTATCTTTGAATGAAGAGTTTTGAAGATTACTGTGACAAGTGCAGGTTTGGCGATTTCTCCTTGTATTTGAGTCTTCACATTATATGTTTTGAAGCTATGGAATTAGGCATTATATTAAACTATATAAAGTCATCACTGGTAATTATATAAGTGTACACAAAGGCCTATGGGTGTTTTACTTTCTTAGAGGGTGACTTATCAAAATTACATATTATCCTGCCCTTTTAAATCGTTTTGCTTTGAATGTTCCTTTTGTCCAATATTAATATTTTCACTTCGGTTTACATTTTGTTAGTGGTTGCCTGCTATCATTCTTTCCCCAAATTAACTAGGAGACTGAAAAAATCCTGTATTATTCAGAGTATGAAAAAGAATTGGTGGGAATTTTCCACCTAAAAGGAAGAAGCTAACGTACAAAATGTAATTTAGAGAGTTTACTCTAGTTAAAGTTGAAGAGCCGGGCGCAGTGGCTCACGCCTGTAATCCTAGCACTCTGGAGGGCCGGGAGTTGGAGGTTCCAGTGAGCTGTGGCGACACCACGGCCCTGCACAGCAGCAAGAGAGAGAGAGAGAGGGGGGGGATGGGGAGGGGAGAGAGAGAGACTGCTTCAAAAGAAAACAAGTGGGGACTGCTGGGGACACTCACTTCCCGCTGCCTTGGGCAGTGCTCCATTAGCCTCTGTTACAAGTGGTTTTTTAAAGGAAAAAGGAGACAGGAGACACAAAGTTGTTTGACAGGAATTCTCCGTGACTGCAGCGATAACACTGATTAGCGGCTGGCTGTGCTTGGCTGAGCACAGATTAGAGGCCTGTGCAGCATGTGGCACTTCATGGCTACTTGGAGTCAGTCAGTATAGAGTCTGCATAGCCAGAGGCTTCAGGAGATAATCTCGTAGCTCCAGGGGGTGACATGAGGACTGTTTTATTGCTGTTTCGAAACCAGCCTGAGCAAGAGCGAGACCCGTCTCTACTATAAATAGAAATTAGCAGGGGAGATACCATGATCACGAAGGTGGTTTTCCCAGGGCGAGGCTTATCCATTGCACTCCGGATGTGCTGACCCCTGCGATTTCCCCAAATGTGGGAAACTCGACTGCATAATTTGTGGTAGTGGGGGACTGCGTTCGCGCTCTCCCCTGGTCATTAAAAAAAAAAAAAAAAAAAAAGAAATTAATCGGCCAACTAATATATAGAAAAAATTAGCTGGGCATGGTGGCGCATGCCTGTAGTCCCAGCTACTCGGGAGGCTGAGGTAGAAGGATCGCTTGAGCCCAGGAGTTTGAGGTTGCTGTGAGCGAGGCTGATGCCACGGCACTCTAGCACGGGCAACAGAGTGAGACCCTGTCTCAAAACAAAAGCTCTGTATTTCTGCCCATGGTCAGGAAATTTGGGATAAGATCTACCCTTTTTCCTCCTTTGCAGAGTAAACTCTCCTTCCTTCCTCCTCAAAACTCTTGCCCTCATTTTTCTGATTCGACCTTGTGGACAAGTGGCTGAGCTTTCTGTCACAGGTGAGGCAACATTTTACCTCTACTGTTAAAGAGTTTTTGGCTGGGCTTAAGAATCGAACTGACATAAAACATATAAATAGGAGAAAGATATACAAATTTATTTAATATAAGTTTTATGTGACTTGGGGACCCTCATGAGGAAATGAGGACCCAAAGAAGAGTCAAACACTCACCTATAGGCTGAGTTGTCCGATGGGCAGTAATTGTGCAAAAGGCAAAGGGGATTGGGCAAGGGGGGTGGTTGGGGGGGGTCGTTCGGTGGAGAAGTGACTAGGAAGATTTTGTGCTGAGACTCAGAAAACAATCCCCTAAAATGAAGGCCTCAGAAGCAGAAGTTTTTCTCTGACCACCTCCTGCCCCTGTCTCTGTCTAGTTGGCCGCTGAAGCTAGCCATGGAAACCAGAACCCCATTTCCTCCAAAGCCAGCCACAAAACCCCAAAATATCACTTTAAGTTTTCCTCTGTCCTTCTGTGTGAAAACTGGCCATAAAGGAATTATCTGACATACTATTAGACTATAGGTCATGAGACCTCATTCCAGAGAGGCTCCTGCAGTGTACGCAGAAAAAAGGATTCATGCTCAGAAAGGCCAAGAATCTAGACAGACAGGCCTTGTTGGCTTTCCCCACTCAGTCTATTAGCATTAGATCCCTTTTTGTCCGATCGTATTTCTACACAGCTAGCCATACTTAGCTGAACCTGAGCAAAGTGAACAATTTCTCCTGCATCTTTGGGTCTTCATTCTGAAGGCTCCATGTGCACGTTAATAATAAATTTGTATGACTTTTCTCTTATCTGCCTTTTTGTGAGTTGATTTTTCAGTGCAATTTTCCCTTTGCCCCTACACTGAGTTAGTTTAGCAGGGTTTGTTTGTACAGAATTCTCTTGGCTTTGACTTCCCATCCTTGATGAGAATGTTATTTTTCTCCTGGTACAGGGAGGACAGGACGTTTTACATATGGGGAAATGCTCCTACTTTCAGGAGGAAAAATGAGGGAGAGTCAAGAGTGGCTTTCTTGTCCCTGCTATTTTTTTAAGTGCTTTTAGCTCAAAACAATCCTTATCCCAAAGTGACATAATTTGGGCAGCATGTTTTTTCTTTCTTTCTTTGTAGGAGTGATTGAGTGGCATGTTTGGACCCCCTTCTACACTTGGAGTTCAGGAGAAAAGACGGAAGAGAACATAGAAGAGCAATGCTTAGATAACTGAGCATTTTCCAAAACGGAATAAAAGACATAAATTTGAAGTTTCACGAGTGTGACAAACCCTAAGCAGCCTAAATAAAAAGAAATCTACATCTAGACGCAGTGCAGTCAAACCACATGACACGAAGGACAAAGATCTGCAAAGCAACCAGAGATTTAGATTAATTAAATCACTTTCCGGCCGAAAAGTACTTGATGGTTTTGCTTTGTCTGGTTAAAATTAGGGTAGTCTCCAAATTTACATTAAAAGATCATGGTCTATTTTCAAGAAAACAAGAATGGAATAAGACTAATGAGCCGAAATTTCTAGTCTCGATGGCAGCATGGTGTATTTGGCATGAGTGAACTACTGTGTTTTTTTTTGAGACACAGCCTCACTCTGTTGCCCGGGCTGGAGTGCCGTGGCGTCAGCCTAGCTCACAGCAACCTCAAACTCCTAGGCTCAAGAGATCCTCCTGCCTCAGCCTCCTGAGTAGCTGGGACTACAGGCATGTGCTACCATGCCCGCCTAATTTTTTCTATACATATTAGTTGGCCAATTAATTTCTTTCTATTTATAGTAGAGACGGGGTCTCGCTCTTGCTCAGGCTGGTTTGGAACTCTAGACCTTGAGCGATCCGCCCGCCTCGGCCTCCCAGAGTGCCGGGATTACAGGCGTGAGCCGCGGCGCCCGGCCATGAGTAAACTACTTTTGATATTGGGGTTTTAAAAGGGCATCGAGCAATGTTTCTCCAACACTGTCCATGAATACGCTGGGCCACTAGCGAGGAGGCAGCACGCCAGGGAAGGAAGCTCTGAACCTGGACAACAAACACTTCCTTCTAGACATTCCACTTGCCCTCATTCTGTTGGAACACCAAACAAGAACATCCACTCAGACCTCCTTTGTTCATGCTTTTAACCTTTTCCGACTTCATCTTCGAAGAAGGTTCTCTCATGCACGTGTGAAAATCAAATTCTGCAAAGCAGCTGTTCACTCCCTGGAATCCGGACCCTTCACACCACATCCGGGAGGGCTGCTTCCTTGGACAGCTCAGACCGGGGACTTCGGGCGCAAGAAAGCAGAGAGCGCAACACTGAACATCTGGGAGCCTTTATTCCCCTTGCTCACCTCTCTTTCGACATTCTATTAAGTAAAGGTGAGCTACAATGAGAAATAATTCGGTTTCCTGTTACTTTTGAAAAGCGGCAACAAAATAGCTATTTAGAAAAAAGGAGGTCCCTGGGTTTTTCTAAAATCATTAGAAAGTACAAAAAATAAAAGTCCCATTAAATGAAAATACGTGATTAAAAGTCAGACTAACACAGATTCAAACAGGCTCTATTCAGACTAGAGTTCTCCGTTTCTTTTAGAAGAACCTTTTTTCTTAGGCTATTCCAGAAGCACTTCACAATGAAGACAGAGGCCTTGCCAGCTCATTTCTTTTGTGAACAAGGAAAGTGTGATAGCAGAAAGCTGGAACAAGCCTTAGGATATGGCTTGATGTCTGAGACCAATTATCTTTGAGTTTATTCCAGCCAGGACAGAAGCTGGGAGAGTCAGGGCAAACCCCGAAAGGAAGGGAATGCAAGACAACGCCTATGACCCACCTTACCACACCAAGTTCCAAAGTGATCCCCTGACCCTACTTCACAAGATTAGGAAGCTAAATGAAGAAGCCTGTGTTGTTCATAATACCATATTTTCACTTTGTCTTATTTTCTAAAGTGCAGCTCTTCGAGAATTTCATTTTTAAAAAATCATCTGTAAGGGAAGAAAAACATAAATGCATTTAATTCAATCACTGATTTTTAACATTCCCACGGTAAGTGAATGCCACACATCGGGCCAGGTTTGCACACTCCGGAAGATCCTTGCATCGGACGGGCGCCCTCAGCACGGCTGCCTGGGAGCCTTGATTTTAGGGACAGCAGTTGGGACTCCTGATTTCTCCTGATATCCTCCCTCGCCTGCGGGCCCGCAGGTGAGTTAAGTTGACTTCTGTGAGTGTTCTCTGCCTTCTGAGGATTTGTCCTCAGATGCTCGACAGTGCTGGCCCCACTGTGCCTCTGCAAACATGCAAGTCTCACCAGGCCATGGAAATGGACACCTTGCCCTGAGAGCAGCTTTACCTCAGGGGCAAAAGATACTACTGAGGACTAGAAAATGGGTTTTCCTACAGACAATTCAAAATGACCATCAATCTGACACAAATGATAATCATATGCCAGATGCTCATCAGAAAATATTAGATATGTATAAATGTGAAGCATGCTACCATTTTCTGTGAGAAAGGCCAGTGAGTGGCTGGGCGCAGTGGCTCACGCCTGTAATCCCAGCACTCTGGGAGGCCGAGGCGGGAGGATCGCTCAAGGTCAGGAGTTTGAAACCAGCCTGAGCAAGAGCAAGACCCCATCCCTACTAAAAATAGAAATAAATTAATTGGCCAACTAATATATATAGAAAAAATTAGCCAGGCATGGTGGCGAATGCCTGTAGTCCCAGCTACTCGGGAGGCTGAGGCAGGAGGATCGCTCGAGCCCTGGAGAGGAGATATGATTGTGCCCCTGCACTCCAGCCAGGGCAACAGAGTGAGACCCTGTGTCTAAGAAAATAATAAAAATAAAAACACACACATCAGCACACACCCACCTCATCCCCTCTCCCCAAAACAATAAGAAGAAACTTCAGCAAACTTACTTCTCTCTTCTGCATGTTTACTTTCAACTCAGGTTTCTGATCCTGGTCATGTACTTGTCTGGGTTGGCAGCACTCATCACTGTAGTATAAATTGTTAAGCTGAAAATAATGAGAGGAATTTACATATACACGTCATTTTCCCTATTAGTCCAAAAAGGGGGAAAAATACTAACAGCTTCTCCAACATTTGTGATCTAGGACAAGAACACAAAGAAAGGCCCATTTATGCCAGAATATTTGAAATGTCTGAATCAAGAGGACAAAGTGTTCTTCCCTCCTATTTTGGCAGCTCTGTGCGAGGTCGGGCTAGAAGTTAACACTGTCAGACCCTTCAGAGCTCACGCTGTGGCAGTGAGGGACAGCCTGCCCGCGCCCTCACCTTGCTCCGTCCCACTCCACCAGGCTTGCCTGTGACGCCCCAGCAGGCAGCCCCTGGTGGACCCCTCAGGAAGGGGTGTCCCCAGCGGCTACAGGCCACCATCAGAAGAACGCCACCCAGGGAAGGGGACCACACCGGCCTGGAAATGGGTTTGGGGCTGAGAATTCCCGGGTCCTGGGTACCTGGGCCAGGCTCTGGTGGGCACATGTCCCTGGCCCAGCAGACTCCCTGTGCCAAGGGAGTCACAGCTAGAGGAAGGCCAGAGTGGGGCCTCTACAGCTCAAGGATCAAGGCAGCCCCACCCTGGCCCAGATCTAAGGATGAAAGGTGAAATGGCATTGACTCCACACTCTGTGTGGCAGGAGACCTGCACAACTCAAGCACATGTGCACACACGTGTGACACACACCAGGGCCCGTTCCCTTCACTCCACTCTGCTCCCGCCTGTCCTGGACACCGGCGCATGCGCAAAGCATCTGGAGCGGGACTGTTCAGGAACAGGAGAGTTAGTGGCGCTGGGCCCCACGGCCGAGAGCACACCTGGCTGAGGACAGCACCTTGCCAAGCGCAGAGCTCGCCAGGGGTAACAGGCTCCCCGAACAGGACCTCAGTTGCTTGTCATCTTTGTCACAGTCTACTCTCCGTCACTGTCTTAATATTTGTTCTAGGCTGGGTGTGGTGGCTCACCTGTCATCCTACTACTCTGGGAGGCAGAGGTGGGAGGATCCCTTGAGCTCAGGAGTTCAAGACCAGCCTGAGCAAGAGCGAGACCCCGTCTCTACTAAAAATAGAAAGGAATTAATTGGCCAACTAATATATATAGAAACTATTAGCCGGGCATGGTGGCGCATGCCTGTAGTCCCAGCTACCCAGGAGGCTAAGGCAGGAGGATCGCTTGAGCCCAGGAGTTTGAGGTTGCTGTGAGCTATGATGAGGCCATGGCACTCTGGCCCGGGCAACAGAGTGAGACTCTCTCAAAAACAAAAATATGCTTTCCCTGATCACAGTACTATTCTCTTCACTGTTTTGATGTTTTCCTTGCTGACTGCCACAGCACAGGGCAGATTCTAGTGCAGGGGGTGATTTTGCAGCCCAGCACAAGGGGGAAGCACAGAGCAGACTGCCTATGCTCAGACATTCCTAGCCAGACAGCCTTACTTGAGGTTAGTCATTACGAGCAAAGGGCCTGACAGTCAGGGATCTGTGTTAATTCTGGCTCTGTGGTGAATGTTATTTAAATGCAGTTTTACTTGTGTTCAGTTATACAATAGAGAAAAATGCTACTTGGTAAACCGTTTATAACTTCCAACAATTTTATTTTGACAAAAGCCATTTAAACATTGACAGCCTTTAACTCAGTAATCCTACCTCTGGAAATTCAGCCAAGGGAAATAATCCAAAAAGTGGGGCAGTGGAGGAGAATGTACAAAGTTTTATATTTATTTATTTATGCTAATTTTTTCTATTTTTAGTACAGATGAGGTCTTGCTCTTGCTCAGGCTGGTCTCGAACTCCTGACCTTGAGCCACCCACCGGCCTCAGCCTCCCAGAGTGCTAGGATTACAGGCATGAGCCACCGCGCCGGTCTATTTCAAACTTTTTTTTTTTTTTTTTTTTTTTTTTGAGACAGAGTCTCGCTTTCTTGCCTAGGCTAGAGTGAGTGCCGTGGCGTCAGCCTAGCTCACAGCAACCTCAAACTCCTGGGCTCAAGCGATCCTTCTGCCTCAGCCTCCCGAATAGCTGGGACTACAGGCACGCGCCACCATGCCTGGCTAATTTTTTCTATGTATTTTTAGTTGGCCAATTAATTTCTTTCTATTTTTATGGTAGAGACGGGGTCTCGCTCAGGCTGGTTTCGAACTCCTGACCTTGAGCAATCCGCCCGCCTCGGCCTCCCAGAGTGCTAGGATTACAGGCGTGAGCCACCGCGCCCGGCCTATTTCAAACTTTTAATAGTGAGAACACTAACTGGAGAGTGCTTAACTCAATTATAATATATCCAATTGACCATTATGCTGCCATTTAAAATCATAAGAGCTATTTAAAGCATAGAAAAAAATGCTTTAATAAAATAAATATAACTATTTTATTATAATACTAGTTTTTAAAAGATACATTAATCAATTCTATAATTAATTTAAAAACTATAAAAATACAAAAATAATTTTTAGCCCCCCCCTCCCCTTTTTTTTTGAGTCAAAGTTTCTGTTGCCCAGGCTAGAGTGCCATGGCATCAACCTAGCTCACAGCAACCTCAAACTCCTGGGCTCAAGCGATCCTCCTGCCTCAGCCTCTGGAGTAGCTGGGGCTACAGGTACGTGCCACTATGCCTGGCTAATTTTTTCTATGTATTTTTAGTTGGCCAATTAATTTCTTTCTATTTTAAGTAGAGACAGGGTCTCACTCTTGCTCAGGCTGGTTTCAAACTCCTGACCTTGAGCGATCCTCCCGCCTTGGCCTCCCAGAGTGCTAGGATTACAGGCGTGAGCCACCGCGCCTGGCCTAGCCCCTATTTTTAAACATGAATACCACAAGGGCAAATTTGTGTCCCACTGGGATGGGTACACTAAATGGTGCATTGGACGGGGCTCCTACAGGCTGGCGAGAGTCGATTACTAAGTATACAGGAAGTTATGAGTCAATTGTAAGCTTGAAACTAACCATAGAAGTCAACAGATGCTATAAATCAGGATTTTTTGTTTGTCCCTCACCCCAAGAAAGAGCTAGTTTACTAGCAGACCATTAAGTATGATTTGTTGTCCAAGTAGCTCATTTGTTAGAGTGATAGAATACTAACTAATTTGTTTTCTGTGTTTGGCTACTAGAACATTGTTTGTGGAATGAATTTTTAAGTGTTAATCTTTGGATCAGGTCATACTTAAAGAAAAAAACTTGCAAAGAGATATTGTGGTACAAAGAGATATTATGGTGCAAAGTGACAAGAAGAATGTCAATTTTCAAAATGTCATTATACCTAAAAATCTTAAAGCACCTGAGTACAAAAGTTATTCTAGATCCCATTGGGAAAACTACCATTTTGTGTTTGCATAAAATGGGACCATTTCCAAGAAAAAAATCAACTGAGCATTTGAAACTGAAAATCACTTTATAAGTTTTAGCTGTGTTGGGCTACTTATTGAAAAATATAGTTTTTTTTTTTTTTTTTTTTTTTTTTTTGAGACAGAGTCTCACTTTGTTGCCCAGGCTAGAGTGAGTGCCGTGGCGTCAGCCTAGCTCACAGCAACCTCAAACTCCTGGGCTCGAGTGATCCTTCTGCCTCAGCCTCCCGGGTAGCTGGGACTACAGGCATGCGCCACCATGCCCGGCTAATTTTTTATATATATATCAGTTGGCCAATTAATTTCTTTCTATTTATAGTAGAGATGGGGTCCCGCTCTTGCTCAGGCTGGTTTTGAACTCCTGACCTTGAGCAATCCGCCCGCCTCGGCCTCCCAAGAGCTAGGATTACAGGCGTGAGCCACAGCGCCCGGCCGAAAAATATAGTTTTGATATTCTTGGAGAAAGCAGAAGCGAGGACAATGAGAGAAAGTAGGAAATGCTGGGTTCTGGAATTTACTGAAGTAACGGAAGGAGATAACACTGTCTTTACTTGCAGATGCTTCCAATTTCAGTAAATTAAATCCTCTTCGTTAAGCAAAAGCAGGTGTCTGCATTCCTAACGAGCTAGTCTTAGGTGTGCATTGAGGCCCTCAGGAGAGTCCCCTTCCTGAGGTGACACGTAGAGGCGCCAACAGCCCGTTCAGATTTGCTCTGATGGTGGCTGTGGACCTTCCAAATTTCCTGGGCAAGCTTGGTGGCCGCCACTGCCTCTCAGGTTTAAGCAAGAGCGTCCTGTGGGAGTTGCAGCCTTGGCCCAGGGCTTCACCTCAGAGAAGTGTGTGGTAAAATCCCAGACTGCAGCCCAGAGAGACCACTGTCCACAGAACGCTGCAAGGACAGGCTAAAAGAGGAACATGGGACTTAGTGAGTTGCCTCTGGAACAAGCAATGGCACTGGGGGTGGCGGAAACAAATGAAAACCAGGGGTGTTCAAACTTTAGTTCTTTTTTTTTTTTTGAGACAGAGTCTCGCTCTGTTGCCCAGGCTGGAGTGCCGTGGCGTCAGCCTAGCTCACAGCAACCTCAGACTCCTGGGCTCAAGCGATCCTCCTGCCACAGCCTCCCGAGTAGCTGGGACTACAGGCATGCGCCACCATGCCCGGCTCATTTTTTCTACATATATTTTTAGTTGTTTGGCTAATTTCTTTCTATTTTTTAGTAGAGACGGGGTCTCACTCTTGCTCAGGCTTGTCTTGAACTCTTGACCTTGAGTGATCCTCCTGCCCTGGCCTCCCAAAGTGCTAGGATTATAGGCGTGAGCCACCACGTCCAGCCTCAAACTTTAGTTCTGACAGACTGAAAAACAAAGGATCTCGTAACCAGTGATGGCTGTTCACAGCTGCCAGAACACGCCACTGCCCTCCCCATTCTGGGTCATGCCATCCTCCATATATTTGGTTTTTGACACGAACTTCTCATCTGCTTATATTTGTTTACCTGCCCCCACCGCCCCCGCCAGAGTGCCAGGCCAGGCCCAGGCAAGCCGGGTGAGAGGAACCCTCAGATCCCTCCTGGCCAGGGTGCCTGTGAGAGCTCACCGTGCTGAGTTGACATTTAACACGTCACTTACTTGTTACAAACTGGAACCACAGACAAAACCTA